AACTTTTGCCCGCTGGGTACCACCATGCAGACTGTTTGAAAGTTAAGGCCCATTGAGCGACTCAAGAGGGATGTAGTCCTGTTCTACTGCCTATGGCAATGCTCCTCAAAAATGTCAACTCTGCCCCAGCCACCACCTGTCTGGATCAACCTACTCACCTCTGAAGAATTACCATCAGCCACCCAAAAACAATAGCCCAGCTTCTACTAATTAGTAAAACAGCAGGGAAGATGGGGTTTCTTAGCCTGTGGTTTAGAGAAGCATAGTAGCATGGCTCCCTGCAAAAGCTGCTGTGTTTCTTGGAGACCCCCAGTCCTACGTCCTCCCAGACAACACGTGTTGGCTGCTTTGGGTCTGCAGGGGAAAACCTTACTGGAAAGCCTCCAGCCCATCTTAACAACCTCAGCTTTTGACATAACCTTTAGGCCCAAGACCTTTGAGAGAATCTTGAAGGTAGCTTTCAAAAGCTACCGTAATTTAAGCTCCTAAGTGCTGAAGCCACGTTGACAAACTCCTGAAAGTATCTTGGGGAAGACAGGGAGGGGGGAAAGTCAGACTAAAGCATTTCCTCAAACTGCTCTTCTATCTTATGCCAAAGTATGCATGTCTGCTTTCCCTGACCTATTTATGTATTTCTACTCAAAACAGCCCCATTTTAACAGCCCTAACTTGGCATGGGCAGAATGAGGAGTGTGTTCTCTCCCCAGGTGCGCAGCTGGGTTTACTTCACACTGAGGGAGAGATGGAGGGGGAAAAGTGGAGGGAAAAAAGCAAGGAGATGTAATTTTTTTCTAAGTGGCATAAAACCAGGTGCTGCCCACCTTCCTCTAATTAAGCAATGCTTTACTTTCAGGAATAGGTAGCTGAACTACACTGAGCAATATGGAATTATTGTATTACAAGAGGTGGCAGAATTCAGTTGCTCTGACCAACACTTAGTATTTTCTCAATGCTGCAAATAGCAGAAGCCATATAACCACAAGGGATATGAGAAGCCTTATGCCTGTGAGACCAGAAAGAGGAAGGTGGTTGGGAGGGGTAAAAGAAAGCCCTCAAACTTATTAGCTACTGCCTAATTAACTTCTCAAAGCCTGCACAGCCACTGAAACTAACCCTCGTCAGCTTTCCAACTGCAGATCACTCACTCCCTATGAAAGCTAGCAGCATAACAAACACCGGGGGAGCACATGCACATGCTCGGTGA